TGCTCTCACTCTCGACCCCCACTTCCATCAACACGCTCCCTCTCCTGTGAGCTCAGCCTGGGCTTTCACAAGTCTGCAAATCCAAAATGGAAAAACACACACACACACACACACACACACACACACACACACCACCAGCACGCCGACCGCCCCCGAGCCCAGACCCCATCGGAAGACAAGGCTTGTGTACCAGGCCCGCCCCATCCCCGCTGCTCAGTAAGCTCCCGTCATCGGTCCTCTCCATAGTTACCCGCATCCTTCCTCCTCCTGCTCAGCCTACCCTTGACTCCTTTTCCCACTCCACACAACAGTCCCAGGTCTGTGCATTCTCCCTCAAGTTACAGCCAACATCTGACTGCATCTTCTGCTACCGCCCTGGCTAAGCCTCCAGTGTCTCTCAGCCAGCCTACAGCAGTGGCCTCTCCACTGGAGTCCTACTGGCATCCATGTGGCAACCAGAGGAAAGAACCTTAGATCACATCATTTCAGCCTAAAAAGCCTGATTGGCTCCCACCCACCTCAGCACAATGTCAAGTCTCTACCGTGGCTTATCAGGCACTACATGACCTTGCCCTTGTCTCCTTTCCTTCCATATTATTCATTCTGGTCTAATTCATGCCTTTCGACTCCTCTAAAACAGCGAGTATGCCCCAGGATCTTTGAATATGCCAGGACCTAGAAGGTCCTTTTTCTCAAAATATTTTTACAACTGGCTTCCTCCTTTTTGGTGAAGTCTTCCACTAAGAGTTTCCTCAAACACATCTTTAACCCCTCCACCTAAAATAGCCCCTCTTGTCTCTTTATCCCTTCAACCTTCAAATTTCATAACTCTTTTCACCAGTACTTATCCATCATCTTGCCCACTACAATGCAGGCTTCACGAGGATAGGGCTTTTGAGTTTTGCTTGCTAGTGTAACACCAGAACCTTAAGCAGTGTTTGGCATGTAATAAGTACCCAATATCTGATGAATCAGAAAATAAGTGAATGAAGACCTGGGGAGGGGTTTGTGATGTAGTTCAGTGGCAGAGCACCTCACCTGGCGTGTGTAAGCTCCCCAACACCACACAGACACACACGTACACACAGACATGTGTACCCGTACAAAGATGGGCCTGGGGTCAGTCAGGATGTTTAGGGTTCCACGTAGTAGAGTTTAATTCCACTTGACTTAAATGACACAGCTATATGGGTATCCCTAATGAGAAAGTCCAGGAGTAACTTGCTCAAACTCAGGCCCGATCTGACGCTCCATCAATATCACAAGGAGCTGATGCCTTTCTGTCTCTATCTGTCCTTCCAAGAAACTGGCCTATCACCACACCATTACCAGTGAGTTCAAAATGCTAATATGCATCTGGCTAGCACTTCTGTCATAATTATGCAAATCCTAATGCTGACAAGAGCTATTACATATTCAGGGCACAGTAGGGGCTAGGGACCTTGCTAGTTAGTACCTTATCAACTTTCTCTGTGTCTTCACTTTCTCATCTGTAGAATGGGAGTAATCACAGCTGTACTTAGGAATGGCTTTGAGGATTCAATGAGCTAATATATAAAGCGGTAAGATCTCAAAAACTATTAATTTGTTTTCATTAACTACTACTGCATAATGTATCACCCTAAAACATAGTACCATAAAATAGCAGCTGATTATTAGCTTGATTCTGTACTCTGGGTGAGACTCAGGGGCCGTAGGATGGCTTCTCTCTACTCTAGAGAGTATCAGCTGGCTGTCCGGTTAGGAAATCCACGATGGCATCACTCCTATGCTTGGCACATCAGCTAAAATAGCGCAGCACTCAGAGAAATCTTTTGAAATACAGAATCCACTGAATTCCTTTTCAGTACTGTACTTAAAATTACCCTACAACTTCCCACTACACATGCAGTAAGAACCCAAACTCCTTATAGGGTCAACATGGCCTCTTGCTCCATCTCAGCTTCTGAATTCCCAATATCACACACTCTTCTCTTTTAATGGAGCTAACGCCAACTCCTTGATGGCCTCAAACCTCTTCCTTGGACCCAGATAAGAATTCCTATCAAGTACTCATGCAGCACTCTCTGCCTTTCTTTGTAATGTCACATTTGTGCAATTATTTGACCTTCTGAACCCTCGCTGCTGAGACTAAGTTCTTTAGGGATGGTAAAACTACTCTGTTCCCTGTGGTGTTCTCAACATTGAGCATAAAGCAGAGGTGGGCTGAGACATCCGCTAAATGTTAAATGTTGAGCACTCAGAAAAGTTTAAGGTGGATAGAAAGGGGATGGACAGAGTCCCCATGATGCTGGAATCCAAATCTACGCTCTGAAACTGTTCATCTGATAGAGTGAGCCCGACGCGTCAATCACTCCTAGGTGTTACAGATAAAGCACAAAGTAGACAAAAGCTGTCCTCACGAAGCTGATAGTCTCTGGGGCTGGGGTAGGGGTAGAATAAACTAGACCAATTGTATGGTGTATTAACGGTGATATGATCAACACAAGGAAAAAGTTTAAGAAGAAAAAGTCAATATGGATGTTAGTGCTACAATTTTAGGAAAATGGTCAGGAAAAATCCCTAGGAGAAAGTGACATCTGATAAAGACTTAAAACAGATGAAGGAATGAATGACAGATGAGTGTTGCAGGCAAACGGAACAGAAAGGGCAAAGGCACTGAGGTCAGTGCATCTGGAGCAGAGTAAGCAAGGATAGTTGACCTTGTCTGAGTGAGGAGGGCAGACTGTGCAAGGCCTTGTAGGCCATGGATAAGACTTTGGCTTTTAACTTGAACGAGATGGAACTCTAAGCAGGGGAAGGATATGACCTGATGCAGGTGTTCATAGAGTCCCTCTAGCAGAACGTGAGGAACAGATTGTGGTAGGAGGAGTGGGAGCAGCAAGACTATTGTGGAGACTGTCATGTGACCCAGATTACTCTGGAGATACTTCTAGATAAACAGAGCTATCAGGTAGACAGGAGCTCAGGAGAGAGGTCCTGGGCTGGAAATGGAAATGTGAGATTTACACATCTGTGCCTACCCCCAATTCCTTACAGATCTACACGATCTGGCCCCTGACGGTGTCTCTAGGCTCTTCTTGCACCCTGATAAGTCAAAAGTTCTCAAACACACACACACACACCCCTGAGCCCATTTTCTATGTTAACTGTATGATCTTGGGCAAGTTACTGAATCGCTTCTGCCCTCAATGTCCTCATTTACAAAAGAGAGATCACAATAGTACCTGTCTCCTAGTACTGTTCATTCAAAGTATTTTTACTGAGGCAGGTGGGGGTGTGACTCAGTGGTAGAGTGCCTACCCAGCATGCACAAAGGCTTGGGTTTAAGCCCTAGAACCACAAAACAAAAAAGAAAAAATTTTATGGAGAATCTACCATGGCGAGGGTAAGCACTGTTCTATGCACAGGAACTATTCCTTTCCCACCTCTGCCTCCCCCTCCCACACATCCTGTCAACCTACCCGCCCCGCTCCTCCTCTCTCTAGCATGGCCCTACCCTAATTCAACCGTGGCACGGCTTGGCTAGGAACATGCTACAGCCATCAGACCCCCGTTTCTTTCCGGTCAATCTACTTACTCTCGTATCGCAGGAAACTGGGGCATGCCTCTACCTTCCTGAAATCCTCTTAACGGTTCCTCACTGCTTTCAGGACAAAGTCTAGCAACCTAGTTGACCAAGAAGAATTTCCACAATCCAGTCTTCTCAGAACTTTCAAAATGGATCTCCAGGACCACCCAGTCACCTGCAGCTCACCGAACACAGGCCTTTTCCCATGCTGCTTCTGTGCGTGCCATTTCTCCACCATCCCCAGTACATCCTTTTCATTTCCAGATCTTAGCTCTGATAGCGCCTACCCTTCCGGAAAGCTCTCCTTGCCCGTTTTCTCTGCGTTCCCACCGCATTTTCAGCTGCCTCCCATCAGCCAACCGGTACAGACCCGTCGCCCGGGTCCTAACCTGTCTCTGCTACCAAAGCTTCCTGCAAACTGGCCCAGACATACCGGGCAGCAGCACCTCGCACAACGCAGCCACCTCATTTCTCCGTGCCCACCTCCTGCTCTGGAATTGCGCACACCTAACCTGCGTGCTCGGCCCGCTTAGCCCAGGAGCCCACCTTTGGCACACCCAGCAAAACTCAGCACCTGGGCAGTGCACAGCCACAACCATCCAATCATGGTCTCCTCTACCTCTACTGACCCGCCTCCAACATCCGGCTTTCAGCGGCTTCCGACTGCGGATTGGCTGCCCGAAAACCCTCCCCCAAATGTGTGAGCGAAGAGAATTCTGGTCTTGGTAGTTCTCCATCACCAAAAAAAAAAAAAAAAAAAAAAAAAAAAAAAAAAAAAAGGGAGTAAGACTTCCACGTAGAACTCCATTTCCCAGGAACCGCCGCGCCCCAGTGGTGGGACAACCTATCCTTTGAACCAGGAGGTTCTTGATTGGCCGATTGGGAGACAAGAAATTTCCAAACTGCCATGGAAACAAGACCACTTACCTGGAACCCAGGGAGTATCTTTTTGCCTGAGACTCTCAAAATGCTTTGCTCCGCAATGATTCCAAAGAATGGGACCAGACGTGTGGATTAAGCCTGTACCCACTGCCTGCCTGTTTCCCAGATGGCACAAACAAGGCCTGCCAAGTGTACCCAGCACCTACTGGATGCCTGCCTGGCATAAGGAGTTGCTCCTGTTCAGACTCTGGGAGCCCTGACTCATAAGGGCAGTACATGGTGCTTCCCAGAGACAGGCCAGAAGCGGGTATTCACTCCTTCGTAGTCTGTTTACCCTGGAAAAGGCAAACATGGGCCAGGATCTTATCCAGGATTCTTTAGCCCCAGAACTCCTTCAGCTCCATGCTTCCAACAGCCATGACTTTTCCAGAAGGGATGTATGTACACCACAAAGATCTTCTGGCACCCCCTTTCCCAAACCCTTGCCCCACCGTGCCTCTGAGGGGCGGGTGAGGGGACCAAGGCCCTGCAAACGCTCAGGCAGGCATGTGAGAAAGCTCTTTACTGGGGGGTACAGCGAGGAGGAGCAAGGCCATCTCCCCCTACCTGCCCCCACCCCCTCCTAGGGCCCTAGGGTAAGGGGAGTCTCCCCTCCACCAGACCACCACTGTCTTTGGTACAATAAATAGAAAACAAGGGGGCGGGAGAGGGGGCCAAGGGTCCAGTCCTTAGTGGGGAGAGTGTGGTCAAACCCCTCTCCTTGACCCCCTGCCCCGGGCCCAATCAGTGCAGGCCTCACCCACCCCAGCTGGGTAGCAGCAATTCCAGTCAAGGGGAGAGGTGAGGATGAGAGCCCAGGGCCCCCAGATGGGGAGGGGGTATGGCTTCAGGAGGGGCCCTAGGGAGGGGGCAGGGTCATGAGCTGGCTGCTGTGCTCTGGGGTACACCACGGAGGCCCAAGCGAGGGCCCAGAGTGGTAGGGTCATCAGGGGGTGGGAGAGGTGGACGACCTCCTGTCATCCGAGTCCGGAGGGCTGAGGCAGCCGGGTGCTGGGGGGCAGGCGCTGGGTGAGGTGGGGAGCTGTCCGGAGGGCCGCCCACCAGGCTCACATCCATCAGCTCCGGGGGTGGTGGTGAGGTTGGTGACGGGGGACGGCCAAGGCATCGGGGTTGGGGGGGTAACTGAGCCCCGGTCCCCGGCAGTGATGAGGCAGAGGTAGGGGCCTGATGTGTCTTGTGAGGCACATCACCCCCTGCCCAGGGGCGCAGCAGCTGGGAGGGTGGGACCTAAAAAAGCAAAGGAGCAGTGGGTAAAGGAGACTCAGTCCTAAAACCGCAGGCTCCCCCAACACACCCTCACAGCCCTCAAAGCCCCAGTACCTGGGGGCTGTTCATCTCACAGTCAGTGATGGGGGGCCCTGGGCCCCCACAATATCGGTTGCTGTAGCGGTAGGTCCGGTTGTCACTGGAGGAGCCACTGGAACCCCCTGAAAGTGAGGGACAAGAAGAAAAGAGGCCACAGGTAAGATGCGGTGGCTGGGATTTGAAGTAGCTAAGTCTAGGGCCACGTCTGGGCTCTGGAACCAAAGTGCATTTGAAGGACCCACACCAGTTTTGAAATGTAAGTTCACAGTTCAGTTTTGGGTGTCAGACCAACTTCAGAGGTCTGAGTGAGCACAGACGGTTTCAAGATATCATGTCCGGGCCACATGAGGCTCTCCTCCCACCTTATTCTGTAGTTCAGAATTAGGCTGTTTCAAATCTCCTGTGAGACCGAGCGACAAGGTGCCCCAGGCTGGTCCAAACAGAGCTGCCCCCACCCCACTGCACCCCATCTAGGCCCTGGGCACCCACCAGAACTGGAGATGGAGCTGGCGGTACTAGAGGAGGGGCAGGTGTCGAGGGGTGCGGGTGAGGTGGAGGCACTGCTGCCTGCCGGGCCTGTGTTGGTGGCCTCGTCGGCAGTGCGGCGGAAGAAGCCGTGCTGCAGAGCCCCCAAAGGGCTGATGCGGGCGGCGGGCTCATACTCCAGCATGCGCAGCACCAGGTCCTGGAAGCGGAGGTAGTCGGCGGGGCTGTGGCCCGGCTCCCCCGCCCGCCGGCCCCCGGGCCCGCCCGTCTGCACGCCCAGCACCTCCTGCAGCCGCCGTGTCCCAGGGCCCTGGTAATCCTGGCAGGGAGGGGTGGGAGGGGGGGCAAGAGAGTGGCCGTCAGTGGGCAGGAGGGGCAGGGAGACACACACGGGGAAACAGAGGCACAGGACAGAAAGTGGAGAGAGAAGCTAAGAAGAGTTGTAGGGTGGGAAGGACAACAGGGGTGGGCAGGGGATGAAGGAAGGGACAGACAAGGGGCAGAGGAAGAAAGGGAAAGACACAGGGAGAGGAGGCGGGGAGAGAGGGAGCCCCAAGTGTGAAAGTGAGGGCCACCGGGTTGGGAGGAGTGGCACGGGGCAGGGGCCGCACCTTCCTGAGTTCCTTTGTCCGTCGTAGGGTCCAGCCACCCCCAGGCAGCCGCTCAAAGTACTTTCGAGCCTTGGGTGCCTGCTCCAGCATGGGGGCTGGTGGGATGCCCAGCACCTCCACGATGCGGCTCATCTGGTCCACCTGCGGGCAGGTGGTGGTCAGGGGCACCGGGCCAGCCAGGCTCCACCCCTCCACCTCCAGCACAGCCCTTCCTGGGGGCGCACCTCATTGGAGCCGCTGAACAGGGGCTCTCCAGTGTGCATCTCCACCAGGATGCAGCCCAGGGACCACATGTCAATGGCCAGGTCGTAGGGCGTGCCCAGGAGCACCTCAGGCGAGCGGTAGAAGCGGCTCTGGATGTACTGGTAGATCTGGAGAGAGATCAATAGTCAGGGGTCCCAGCCTCCCCTACTGGCCCCACCGGCACCGCAAAAGCTAAGGGGACCCATCTGAGATCAAGACCCCTCCTCTCTAACCGGGGACGGAAGCTCTACATTTTAGCATCCTCCGCACAAACACTTCTACAGCCACTGCCGGCATCTTGTTCATTAGACTCCACAGTCTCGCTGGGCTGGGTTAACCCTAACCTTATTCCTAGCCCTGGCCCCTGCTGACCACCAGTCACAGGCTGCCAGTTCCCAAGGCCCTCCACTAGTGTGTGTGTCACTTCAGTGCCTGCTCACACGACGCTGTGAAGCTGAAGGTCTCTCCATTCCAAGAAAATAGCAGAAACAACTTAGTAAAACCTAGGTTGGACCCAAGCAACTTCACTTGCCCACATCTGGCGCTTCAGAACCAGCCCTGACCCTCAGGCTCACCTTTGCCCTTCCCAGTGAGCAACACACCCTCTCAGCCTCTCCTCTGCCTCCATCGTGCACTGGCCCCACCCTCCCGACTGTACCAGCAACATCCCATGTCAAGCGCTATCTCTCAGGCATCCATCCCCATGGCCTGGACTGGTCTGCCCTGACCTACCCATACCCACACCGTGAGCCCTCCCCCCACCCCCAGTCTGAGCCGCACCCTCTGGCCAAGCTGGCAGGAGCTGCCAAAGTCCACAATCTTGATGGCACTGCGCTTTGGGTTGCACAGCAGGATGTTCTCAGGCTTGAGGTCGCAGTGAATGATGCTGAGCTCAGGCGTGGCCAGAAAGAGCAGCGCCGTGCAGAGCTGCTGTGCCAGCTTCCGGGTCAGGTTCAGTGAGACGCCGCGGAAGTGTGTATTGCGCAGGAGGTCATACAGGTTGTAGGACAGCAGCTCAAACACCAGGCACAGGTGGTTCCGGAACATGAAGTGCCGCTTCAGGTGCACTATGGGGGAGAAGACAGAAAAAAATGATAAAGAAACAGAGAAGGTCGGTGGGGCCTAGAGTCACACAGTAGTGAGTGTCTCTACCACCTGCACACTGGCCCACGTGTGGTATGCCCCGGGTGGCAACATTTCTACATAGTATCAACTTGATTCACCCAAGAAGCCCTCTTTCCAGGCTGTCAAATCTTCTAATTAAACCAAAGAGAAGTTTCTGTTAGCTCCCAGTAGATCTTCAATACCTGTCCAGGCTTCCTCAATCTTGTAACACTGTTTTCATCTCAGTTACATTTAAAGACAAGGGACACTGATTTTCCAACTACAGTAAGGGTGTAAATTTTCCTTTTAAAAGAGGAATCAGGGGCTGGGGATTTAGCTCAGCGGCAAAAGCGCCTGCCTGGCAAGCGCAAGGTCGTGAGTTCGGTTCCCGGTACCGGAGAAAAACCAAAAAAACCAAAAAAAAAACTAAAAGAGGAATCAGTGCAAGAGAGGAGAAAAATTGGCACAGTTTTTAAGAATCAAGGCTCCAGAGTCTACAACCTCATCAGTTACAGCTCTGCTGAGTACAAACTGTCACCTCACACAAGTGACAACACTGACTGCCTGGGTTTCTTATCTCCAACATGTGAGCATGTTATCTCCTCGTGGGGCTGTGGTGAGGTAATTTGTGTAACGTGCTTGCAACAGAGCCTACCTCTGCAAGGGCACTTGTAAAGTCTGACCACTTTTACCGGGTGAATGGGCAAAAACCATGAATGAACCGGGAGAATCACTAGGTCAGGGAGGCTCCAGTGAGTGCCGCCCTGCCCCGATGAAACCAACCCCTCCAGGACTAAGGAGGACTATCCCCGCTCCAGGCCTCTGTACCTGGCACCCACTGCCCTGGGCCTCACCTATGTAGTACTTCATCTCCGTGTCGTGCTGGTTCATCAGCTCCAGCAGCCGCAGCTCAATCTGGGCCTGGTTCAGGAACGCCTTCTTGTTCTTGATGATCTTGATGGCCACCAGCTCCTGGGTCTGATGATCATAGGCTTTCACCACCTGTCAAGGGTAGCGCACGTCACCAATGGAGGCGGGAGCAGGGTACAGCCAGTCGCTGCTCTTCTCCTTCTGGCAGGGAGACCCACCAATCACACTATCACTAACACTACTAATACACAGCTGTGTGCTCACTACTAGCCAGGCACTGGTATAAACGTGGGACATGAAATAACACAATGACCTACGCGAAAGGTCATGTTATTTGCACTTTTACATAAAAAAAAATGGAAGTACAGCAAACTAAGCAACGAGGCTGGAAGAGTAGCCTGGTACAGAACCTGAAGTCACTAAGCCCGTAGGTATATGGGCCAACGTTAGTGGGTACTTGTACCCCTCAGTCTCTGGACCAGACTGGTGGTTGTCCTCACCTGGCCAAAGGAGCCTTTGCCTATGAGAGAATCGATCTCGTAGCGCTCCAACCAGCGCTCCCCACTGCGCACAATGTAGTCGTGGTTGTCATCATCATAACCGTGGTTCAGGACCTTCTTCTCCTTCTTGGTGCTCGAGTCCTGGGGTGGTACCTGCTGGGCCCGCCGCTTCTTCTTCGCATAGTATACCTGCCCAGCCAGCCAGCCAGGAGACAGGGACTGGTGAGTGACCTGGGCCAGCAGCAAGACGCCCCAGCACCCAGCCCAGGACCCCACCCCCTGCCCACCTCATTGATGTGCTTGTAGGTCTTGATGAGGTCCACAGAGAGCTTGCGCAGCGGGGCTGAGGCTGCATCCCGGAAGGCCAGAGGCAGCCTCCGAGGCAGCAGTCGCACATCAGGCAGTACCTGCGGGGAGGGGCAAGGGGCAAGAGGACAGGCCTTCACCTTTGGACCTCCAGTGAGAACCACATGGGCTGCTGGCTCATCAAGACCACACATATTTATCTGGTCTGTCTGGCTCCAATGAGAGAATATGAACTCCCCAAGGGCAAGGATGTAGGTCTTGCCCTTGTTTCTCCCCAGTGCCTTGAGCAGGAGCTGGCAGTGACCACTCACTGGAGCTCTGCCCTGTAAATGGAGTGAGTGATTTACCCCAATCTTTTCCCCAGGCCCTGTGTTGGGCTTCCCGTACCTTTATCCATTTCTAACCTCAATCCTTCTATCCAAGACTATCTATTTTGGGAATCCTACCTAGAAAGTAACCCCAAGTCTATCTGCCCTCATCCTCCGGGGCCTTCCCAACTCTCACCTCCAACTCTGAACTCCTCCACCCAGGTCCTTTATCCCAAAGGCACCTGGTCTGGGATCTGGTGCCCTGGACTCCCCATTGCATCTTACTCCAAGCTCCACATTTCAGAGCCTTACCACCTCTATCCTGAGCGCTCCTCATCCTATACCACCACCCTGGCCCTGCAGCCAAGACCCCTCAGGCTCAGCCTCCCTCGCGTTCACTCTGGATGTCCTTCTCAGTGACGACTTACTTGATGTTTGCGATGTGCCAGGCACCATTCTTAGCATTTTACACATATGGTATTTCATTAACCGGTTTAACCCTGACAACCACCCTCTGAGGGAGGTATCATCACTGGCCCCATTCACAGACCAGAAAACAGAAGTATGAAGAACCTGAGTAACTCAGCCACCACAACAAGATTTGAACCAAGACTCTGCGACTCTGCTTAAAACTTTTCTACTTCAGGCTGGGGATTTAGCTCAGCGGCACAGCGCCTGCCTGGCAAGCGCGAGATCGTGAGTTCGATTCCCGGTACCAAACCCCCCCCCCAAAAAGAACTTTTCTACTTCTATGGGGCTCATGATGTCCCTCAGGGATGGTCCTGTGCACCACAGTAGCTTTTGGCCTTGAGACCCTTCTATTTCCAGCCTCCCCTTACCCCCAGGCAGGTGACAAGCCAGCTGAATGCCTACCTGCATGTGCTCCTGGGGCCCCGGGAAGCCAGAGAATGGCCCATGGCCTGGTGGGATGGCCATGGTGGGCTCAGAGGGCCGCAGGGGTGCGAGACCTGGAGCGGGAGCCCGGCCGGGGGGCGCCTTCTCGCATCCTGCACCTCGGCTGCCACCGCCGCTGAGACCTGAGAGCAGGCAGGAGGTGGGGAAGCAACATGGAACAAGGGATGTGTGGGGTAGCGGCGGGCAGGGAAGACAGAGGCATGAGAAAGAAGGCAGGGCACAGAGGGAGAAGACAAAGGGTGCAACAGAGCAACCAGAGGGAAACACAGAGAAGGCACAGGCCAGTGGAGGAGCACAAGGCAGTCCCTCAACAAATAATGGTCAAATAAATGAGTGGGGGCAGCACAAACAACATGTAAAAGAGAGTCACGGGTGGGAGGGGTGGACACGGGCCATGACAGGAAAGGAAGACAGACACCAGTGGTTGCGGGGAAGAAAAGAGATGAAAGAAAGTAGAGTCTGGGCAGAATTCATTCTTTCTTCCCATTTCTACTCCTGTCTCTCCCCAGGGGCCTTCGCACAAGATTCTATCCTCTTGTAGTCTTCCCTGAACATCAGGATTTCCTCAGGCACCACAGCAAACTCCCTCCACCCCGAGTCTACTCTTCCTTCCCAGCAGATTTTTCCCAATCCTGAGAACTCTGGGGATCCCCCAAACCATGTAAGTTCTCTGGGATCCCCCGGCCACAAGAGAGTCCTCTGCAGGCCCCTAAAGCCATATGGGGTCCTCAGGACCTCCTGGCCACAGCAAGGTTATATGAGCCTCTATGTAAGTCCTACTGCTACGGTTTTCTCATTCGGGGTACACCCTTTCCAGGTCACACCAAGCCCTCCTCCTGATATCAGGCCTTCCTACATCAGGGACCACCCCTCCAGGTAGTCTGCTTATACCCTATTTTAGTTCCCCTGTGCCATGTCAGAGATCGCCCCCGTTTTACTCCAAGACCCTCTCCCAGGCAAGGCCACTCCTCCTCATGGAAGCAAAAGCAAAGCCTCCTTTCTCACAGGTTAGGGATCACCCTTTGCTCCCCTACACTGGGTCCTTGTCCTCTCCCACCCAATATTCCTACTAGTCCTTTCTCCAGTTCCCCCTCTCTGCACTGGATCACTGTACAACTGCACCTATTCCTAGAAGGTCCCCCTGGTCGTATCCCCAAATATCACAGAGGGCTCTCTCCTCCCAGAGTGTCCGCCACAACCAAATCCTCCAAGTGCACCTCGCCCGTGTCAGATCCCTCCTCCCTCGGAACTTCCCCCCAAACTACCTCTTTCCTGGGGTCTTCCCACACTAGGCATGTCACTCCCAACCCCCACCCCCTACCCGGGTCGGGGCTGGTGCGGGGCCCACGGGGGGCTGGGGCGCGGTGGGGCCCCCAGTGGAGTGGGCGAGCAGCCAGCATGGCGGTGGTGGTGGTGGTGAGAAGGCAGCCGCCGGTTCCTTGCCCCGCCGGGGCAGCAAACCCCGCGGCGGTGAGGGCAAGCAGGGCAGGCAGCCCGGTGGGTGACAACAGCCGCTGCCAGGGGCGGGGAAAGGAGCGGTACTAAGGTCAGCTCAGGGCAGGCGGGGGAGGGGAGAGCAGGTGGACGGGGGAGGGGAGGGTTAACCCTCACACCGCCGGCCCCGCCCTGCCCTGAGTGGCCACCCGCCCCCAGGGACCCTGGTGTCCCGCCCCCGAACCTAGGAGGACCGCCCCAGCCGGCGAAGACCAGGCAGGCGGGGCCCAACAGAGAGTTTGGCAAGCCGCACCTCCCATGGCAACAACAGTATCATTGGTCGTTGCTGCCAGAAACTCAGCCAATCACAACCCAGGGCAGCTGTTGCTAGGCGACGATGAAGCGGCCGGCGGAGCGGAGACAGAGCCCAAACAAAGGGCGGGAGTGGGGCCCAGCTACCCCCCTCCCAACCTTCTCAAGAGGGCTCCCTCGGGCACAGCCCCTTCCAGGAATCCGACTATGAATAGCCAAGCACAGCCCGCACCTGCCCGAAGCCCCCCTCTTCTCCCTCGGCCTCGTGTTAAGTCTCCCTCCGGGCGACGCAGACAGGGCGGGTCCCGATCACCCCTTCTCCCCCTGAGCGCGTGCCGCCCCGCCCATCGGCCGATCGTTACCTGAGGGCGCGGGTAAGGGGACTCAAACTGCTCGGGGAGCCCGAGCTCAGACCTGCCCACGGGCGGAAGGTATCCGGCGGACGCAGCGTGCCAGGGCCCCGATTACCCAGTAATGCAACCAGCAAAATGGCGACCACAACAAACCGCCCCCCCTCTGCCCGAGCTCCGCCCCTGCCCTCCCTTCCGCTCCCTTCACGTGACTAGGGTAACACTCTGCGCCTGCGCTTGCGGAGCTCTGGCCAGCCAGGCTGGCACACATGCGCAGTGGGCTACCAAACGAGCCCAAATCCCCAAATGAAGTTACAGCTGTGCGAGTAACCTAGGAATGGAGCATGCGCTGCGTGACCACAAGAAACTTTAAACCCCAACGAAGCAAAGATGACCATGGGTGCATGCATCGCGTCGTCTATGATGGTCGCAGAACAACCAGTAAACAGAGCAACAGATGAGTCTTTTAATAGAAAAATCACACGTGCAACAAACAGTAGCAACACATCTCTGGGAATCTAGACAGCATTGAGCTTCAGTTCTTCACCTTGGGAGGTGGCCTGTGAGCAGAAGACAGAAATGAGGAGGGAGGAGTGCCACAGTTGTCACCGCCCTAGTATTTCCCAGGACCACAGCACTTTGGATGCAGGGGAGGGGGAGCACTGTCTCAGTGGATTACTGGGCTCTGCTCACCTGTACACACCCACAACCACAGCGTGGTCTCTCTCATATGGCTCTAGGGTCAGCTGTTCCTGGGGCTTCATGTTCTCCTGCTGCATCTTCTTCACTTCAGAAGCGAACACGGCCTCAGCTGAGGCTGTGGAGTCAATGCAGTTAGCCTACAGAGAAAGGATTTGACATCTGCACCAAGCTCTGGGCTGTTTTCCTTTTTGATGCTCTATAAGCCAGAAGTTTGTTTTCAACAGAAACACAAGTGAAATCCAGGTTTTGGAAATGTGGCCAAAGACTTCAAGAGCGCTATCATGGCTTTCCTCATGACAGCCCACCCTGTGTCCTCCAGGGTATACTTTTATCTTGCTTTTTCCCCTTCTACTGGGCCCAAGCTCGCTCTGCAGAGCCAGTTTCTTCCTCACTGTTCACTTTTACTTTGTCAAATAAATTTTATCACCGTTAAAAAAAAAAAAAAAAGTAGAAAAGTTTTTAATTCGAGGTCAGGTGTCCTACTTATCTAAAAGCCAGTATTTAAGTGGTGCTTGATCACATCTTTAATCTCAGAACTTCAGAAGACTGAGACCAAAGAACAATTCAAGTTCCACCTAGGCAACTTAGCAAGAAACTATCTCAAAATAAAAAGGGCAAGGGACGTAGCTCAGTATAAAGACCCTGGGTTCATTTCCCAATACCAACCAACAAACAAAACCAAAACCAAACCAAACCCCAACCTTATGTGCAAAATTTTTTTTCTCCTTCCTCTTAGTAGTAGTAATGCAGCCAGGAACAATAAAACAAACTTAGCAAAAAGCTACTATCACAGATGGTAGACCTGGTGAAAGGTCCATGGGAGTTCTCTGCATTTCAAATTATAATGCATTTTGAAAAATGCACCTCACATTTATCTCATCTCTATTCTGTGACAGGAACTGTTCTGGATACTTTGAATGTTGATTAATCTTACACCAATTCTTAAAAGATGATAGGACTAATATTTCTAATGTTACAAGCAAAGAAACTGAGTCAAAAGGTTACATAACGTGCCCAGAGTCACATAGTTAGCATTCAAGCACAGATGGTCAGCCTCAGCAATCATGCACTTCATCACCTACACTACTTGCCTCCTTAAATCCAAAAGTTACTTCCCTGGCATACAGCTACCCCATCTTCGAGTCCAAGCCCCGCACCTTAATGGAAATCACAAAGTGTCCTCCATTACGTAGGAAGGTATGGGCATTCAAGGCCACAATCCGGGTTTGATCTGGCTGGGCCACATCGGCGAAGATAACATCCACCATTGCTAAGGAGAGAGGACAGCAGTTAAAAGCTGCATCAACCAAAGATCTTCCCAGACCCTCCCATGAGGCCTGTGTTCCACCAGCAGGCTCCTGGGAGTCTCCCTGCTTCACTCTCCTTCCCCCAACTGGGAACCCCCTCCCTCCATGGTGCCCCCCGAGATGGGTCCAAAGCCCACAGTCATAACATTCATTCACTCCTCTTGTGAAACATGGTTGCCACCTACTCTGTGGCCAGCCCTGGGCCGGGCGTGGGGGACAGAGAGACGAGTCAGACCCGGACCCTGCCCTCGAGATGCTCCCGGGTCTGGGGGGAGATAGACACGGCATCAAAAAGACAATTAAGGTGAGCAGTTAAAGGCAAGAGTGTGGAAGACTTAAATGAAAACAAGCTGCAGAGCAGGGGGTGGAGGGGAGGCATGGAAAAAGCAAAGAAAAATGAGTGGAATGAAAAGTAACGTTTTAAAAGCAATGTGATTTTTTTTTTAAATGATGAAGTGGTATAAAGAAAACCTGAAAAGTTGGGAAAAGCAGATAGCAAATGTTCATATCAATAACCGCAGGGAACTTTACAAGGCTATTTTTCACTCTACTTTTAAATTTTTTCTTGTAAAAAAAAAAGTTACTAATATTCATAATGGGCTCCTCCAGGCCAGGCCAGGCCAGGCCATGCTGTTCATGCTAGCATGCCACATTAACGGCCCCCTAAAGAGGCTTTTAAACGGAAGCCCAGGTAGTGTAAAAGGTACCATGTTTTAGCAGGAGGCAGGAAGCGCAGGGGACCTATGAAGCCGGGAGAAGATCAAAGAAGAAGTGGGCCTTCCCGGAGCTCCAGGCATTTGTGGCAGGTACCAAACACCTCCACACCCGGCTCCGCTCCCCACTCTCCATTCCTGCACACTCAGGAGGCCTGCTCATCCACTCCAACTCCATCTGAATCCAGGCCCCGCTGATCCTTCCAGGAACCCTGTAGTGGCTTGTCCCAGCTGCCCTGGGCCACCCCCAGACCCCTCACCGATGAGCATGCGGTATTTGTGTGGGTGTCGAGCATCCTCAATCACGGGGATAATGTTGGTCCTCTTCTTGGCCAAGTTGATAAGATCGCGGCCAGAGCGGTGGGAGAACTCAACTGCGTAGACCAGACCATCCTGAAACGAACCCAATGATAATGCACAATGACACTGGTTCTCACGTACGGAGTGTGTACTTCGGGGCTCTATACTACACACAGCATCTCTTCAGACCCCCAAATCAAAAACATACCAACTAATGACTATGATTACGATGTCTGCATTACAGATGAATAAACTGAGGTGTAAAAACATGAAATCACTGACCAAGGGTTATTTAGCAAGCAGCAAAACAACACAATCCAAATTTGCCTGATGTGAGGGCCCAGGCTCTCCCACGAGAGGCTTAAAATCAGGCAGCGGACACACAGAGACACAGAGAGGAGGTTAACAAAAGCTAAGGGTATTTGCAATGCGAATGAACTTGTTTAATTTTCACAAAACCCTATTCTGGTTAAGCGGAGACAGGTTAGGAAACTTGCTGAAAGTCACATCATTATAAATTGCCTACAACAAGAGAGCCTGGAGTGTCTGACCACCAAATTTAACCGCCTGTACTCATGCCACACCTAAGAAGTGGAGGAGTGAAACACACAGGTACCTAGCATGCTCTACAGGAGAAAGCCGTACAGCCACACAGAAATGCAGGCCCAGAACTATGAGCACCAGCAGTTCTTTAAAGAGAAACCAGAAGACCAGAACTTTGGGGGTCTGAGTTTTTTCCTTTTTCTTGGACACAGGGTCTAGCTCATGTTACTCAGGCCTCGAATTTGCATCTTCTTGACTCAGCCTCCTGAGTAGATGGAATAACAGCCACGTACCATTATGCCCAGCTAGGGGCACGAAATTTTAACAAGGACAACCAAACTCTACTCTCCCAGCTTTGGGTCCCACTAGTGATGGTTAAATCCATGCCCATCTCTCTTCCCTCAAGACCTCAAGTTGCCCTATTCATAGGCACTGAAGGAAGGGCCTGCCCTACACCACATGGTGTGGGGAAGCAGCCAGGCCCCGACTGGAGATTGGCAGAGGCGGCCCACACCCCAAACCATCCAACTCACCAGGCCTACTATGTCGGAGACATGGGAGACTGTGGTACCAGAGGCCGCCCCGAGGTAGAGCACCTTGGCCCCAGGCTTGATGTGGATCTGGTCCACACCACCGAGGATCGCTGCAGCCAGTTTGGAGCGGAAAGGGTTCCAGGCTCGGTACTCAATTTTGTCATCTCCTTCCTAGGCCAGGAGAGATGAGGTGATAGTCAGTGCTAGGCTCTTCTGCAGATTACCCTTAACCTTAGTGCCCTCAAAAGAAATGGGGTGGCGCAGTCATCATCCAAGAACTGAACACGGGCACAGGGCAGGGACCGTGACAGAGGAGTGACTGTGAGCACAGTCTCTCGTGGATGCTGCCTACTCACAGAGAAGAGGCAACAAGGGAGTAAGCAGTAACAACGAGACCACCTCCTGTCCCAGCACCCGCTTACGCTGCCCCTGTTCCAGGCACTGGGGACGCCACAGCGAAGAAGACAGATTCAGGTCA